GTGCTGCTAGTCCTTCCCAGTTTTCAAAAGTAGCAAAACATCCAGATGTTTAAGTGAGACCCCCCGATTTTTAAATGTTGGCCTTAGTGTTAGAAATCGAGGCCTGAGCAAGGTTCGCCATCAGTTGGCTGCACGTGGTCCTTGGAGACCAGTTTTCAGTGTCTGCTCTCAGCACACAGTGTCCTGCCAAGCCCTGAATCCCTCAGGGGAGACCCTGGGGGCCTGGGGGCGGGGAGGAAGCCTGGCCAGGCCCCCTCTTCCATAAAGAGGCTCAGTGAAGGAGCCCCCAGCTCATGTCCCCACGCAGGAGCCTGCAGCCTTGCGGTGCCTGCCTGGCCCATCACGTCTAATACGGGTGTCAGCGGAAAGTAAATTAAATCCGCGGGGCTGTAATTCGCAAACAAAACATTCTGTGGCAGTAACTAAACAAAGCATTATGCTTTAATCGGCCTTTTAAAGTGTTGTTTTAAAAATCATTTTATTGTGCAGAAGCTGGTATCCTAAGAGCTATAATTCCTTAACTGACAGAACGCTAGTGCAATACCCTCTGGTCTAGATATTCTTACCAGCGGGGGCATCTGTCTTGCTGCTCCTAAACCGATCCATTTTCAGAGTAAAAGTGCGGCTCAGCCTTCCAGCCTCTCCGATGGGGAACCCCAACGGCTGCTTCTCTACAGGGGCTGCTTTCGCTCTGGCTTCGAGAGAGAAGCAAAACAATTTGTCGTTCTCTTATTCCCTCCATCTACCTTCCTGTCTCTCTACAAACACTTGTATACTGCTAAGCACTTTGCAAACATTCGCCCAATGAATTCTCCTGCCAACCCTTTCAAAAGGTGTTATTCTCATCCTTTTTGTTTTTAGGTCAATTTTGAGTTAGTTTTTGTATACGGCGTGAGGTAAGGGTGTGGATATCCGGTTGTCCCAGCACCATTCGTTGAAAAGATGAAACTACCTCCCACTCCCCGTGAATTGTCTTGGCACCTTTGCTGAAAATTAATCGACCATAAATATATAAGTTCTTTTCCGGGCTCTCAATTCTGTTCCATTGAACTATGTGTCTGTCCATCTGCCAATAACTGGGGGGCTTTAGACAGAGGAGTGACACGCCTACTTTGTGTTTTAAGACTGAAAGGGGAGAAACCTCTGAGGAGGCCACTGCCCTTGTCCACACAAGAGATGCTTCCAGGGGTGGCCATGGAGATTGGGGGGAGGGGCATGGGAGGGCTAGTTAGGAGGAAGCATGAACAGGACGTGGTGAGTCCCGAATGTGGGAGTGAGGGAGCGGGAGGAATCTGGGTGACTCCTGGGGTTTTGGCACTGGTGACTGGCTCAACTGGATGGACGGGCGAGGGTGCCACCCACTGGAGGGGAATATGGGGTAAGGACACTGGGTTCAGTTCGAGACATGCCGACTTTGAGGTGCTTGTGGGATATCCAGATGGCCTTGTCCGGGAGGCGGGTAGGTATGAGATTTTGGGGTCGAGTAGCAGATGGAGCTGCAGCCAGAGATGTGGGACCCACCTGCTCCCAGGGGGCTGGAGAGGGGAGGATTGCGGCAGCAGCAGAGGAGCGACCCTCCTGCTCTCCTTCTCCACTGGTCTCTGTGTCTCTCCCCGGGCTGAGACCACACCGTCTTAACACTGCAGCTTTGCAATAGGTCCTGACACCTGATACCTGTCGTTCTTAAGCGTGTCTTGGGACTTTGGGGGTCTCTCTGAGCCTGAGTGTTTTCATCTGTAAAATGGACGTGCAGCATGATAACAGCCCCACAGTGAGGCAGCTCATTAAATCGTGTCGTCCAGTGCTCAGCACATACTTAGCACTCAAGGGACAGGCCGCCACGGTGACTGAGCACACCCTGGCTATCATGCCGGGTGGGGTCCCCAGAGACTCACGTCTGACTCTCATTTATTTCTTGACCCTGGAGAATAACAGAGGGAACCAGTCACAACTTAAACTGCATTTTAAAATGTTTCCCAAAGCACTGGGCCTGATTTTCCTTGGTCTCCTCTCTCTCCAAGCCCAGAGCTCAAAGTTGGCCTTTGCTGGGCTCTGCAGTTCAACACATGGCCAGCAGATGGCGATAGAAGCTAAGGGAAGGCCCCCCCCCACCACCACCCTCCTCAGGCCCCCCCTCTTTCCCATTTCCAGGGCCAGCTGTTCCCAGGCTGCCTGTGCATCAGGGGTGAGTGGCCCCAGGCCCAGCCCGCTGCAGGCTCCTGGGAACACAGACCCGTTCTGGAGAAGAAAAAGAAAGTCAGACCGCGCTGGGAGCTCTGAATGACCCTACACCCTGGACACCCCCCGACCTCCACTCCCTGCCCTCCCAGGAAATCACTTCATAAATAGGGCAGCGTGGGTCCCACGTGGGAGGGAAATGGTCCTCACGAGAGCCACTTCCTCTGTGAACAAGGAAGCCAGAGGACCTCTGAGAGCAGCCCATGCCCTCCCTGTCCATCCTGTGTAAAATATGAAATAAGAGTTTTAATTACCAAGCTTGGAAGCCAGCCGACACGTTGAATATTTAATGTCTCCGATGCTTGTGCCCCAGGCCTGCTGGCACTGACACCATCGGGGGTTCCCTTGGGTTGGCTCTGAATGTGCTTGGAGAAGGGCCAGGTTGTCCCGTTCCCCAGCACCTGGGTGCCTCCGACAGCCCCTCCTGGGCTCGGCCGGCCCTGGGCCTCCCACTCCCTGAGGGACTCCTGCCAAGGTGGCCAGGGGCCTGTTGTCCCCCGTGGGGAGGACTCTAGGTTCCGGCAGAGGCCGGGGTCCTTGAGGTCAGGCAGCCCGGGAAGATGGAAACAGACAGACCTGAGTTCGGATTCTGCTTTCCTGCCAGTGGCTCAGCCTCTTGGAGTCACGTTTTTTACTTTGTAAACTAAAGAATATTTCCTACATTATGGACAATTGCTGTTAACAGACGGCCATTTGGGGGGGTTAGCCTGTGCCTGGAACCCTGCTAAGCACTCCCATGTAGTTCGTCTTTGTCATCGACAGCAGTCCTGTCAGGCACTAAGAGGGGACATGAGCCCAGGACATTCTGACTTCAGAGCCTGTGAGTCTGAAAACCTCTGTGCACAAGCACTTCAGAGATTTGGGGGGAGGTGAGCTTGAAGGAGACACTGCCACCCAGTCCCACGCCCTAGTTTGTCCTACACCACAGTGGGCCCTCATGCCTCAGAGACAACCAAGAAAAGTGCTAACGGGGATCAGGACAGCAGCCCCGACAGAATCACCCCGACCGCTGTGCTGGCCACACATTTCTACTCCCTAGTGCAGTGGTTCTCAACCTTCCTCATGCCGTGACCCTTTAATACAGTTCCTCATGTTGTGGTGACTCCCAATTTCATTGTTACAAATTAAACATAATTAAAGCATAGTGATTAAACACAAAAATAATATGTAATTATATATGTGTTTTCCAATGGTCTTAAGCAACCCCTGTGAAAGGGTCATTCGACCCCCAAAGGGGTCGCGACCCACAGGTTGAGAACCACTGCCCTAGAGAGGCGGTGGGCATGCGAGCTGCATTCGATGGCTTGATTTGGCATCTCAGGATGGAGGGGCTTCCTAGGGCCATCTTGGGATGGTCCACGCACCTTGGTATGTCTATAGCAGTGGTTCTCAACCTGTGGGTCGCAACCCCTTTGGTGGTCGAACAACCCTTTCACAGGGGTTGCCTAAGACCATCCTGCATATCAGATATTTACATTATGATTCATAACAGTAGCAACATTACAGTTACGAAGAAGCAACGAAAATAATTTTATGGTTGGGTCACAACATGAGAAACTGTATTTAAAGGGCCAGAAGGTTGAGAACCACTGGTATAGTCTCACGCACCATTCCTTGTCCAGCTGGCTGTGTCTAGGTGGCGCTTTGTGCACGGTGATAGCCAGTGACGAGGTGCGGGGTCACCTAGCAGTTGGAGGCCACTTGTCTTACAAGGTAATGAAGTCCCTGGTACATAGGAGGCCTGCAGCACGCCCAGACAGGACAGCTCAGGGAGAAAGGGAGAGGGAGGCGACAGTGAGCTCCACTTTGAACCATCAGGTGGGCACATGGTGGTGAAGATGTGGGGACCCGGGAACCCTTGTCCTAGTGGGAGTGTGAAGTGGGGGTGGGCCATGGTGGGGAGCATGGACCCCACACTCCAGCAATCCCACTTCTGGGCACACAGTCCAGGGCATCTCTCACCGAGGGAGACAAGGAAACATGCCCAAGGATATTCCCTGAAGCTGTTACCGGCAATACCTAAGGGGTGGAAACAAGATGTCTACTCAGAGGAGCGAGAGACCGCAAGGGCATATGCAAATGATGAGCGCCGCCAGATGCGATGGGATGAATTAGAATGATGTGTGCTAACACAGGCAGGTCGTAAAAATGGAACGCCAAACAAGATGTCTGGCAAATACTACTTAATATGCTGCAATATACATTTTCATGGCTACACACGCACATTCACACATTGACAACATTAAGGATGTTTGCCTGTGGGGAGAAGGGAGGATGAAGGGGGGTCCAGAAGGGGGACGAGAGCGACGATAACAAAGCAAACAACTACGCAAGAGGCGTCAGGTGTGGCCCTAATGTTGTGAGTTGAGCTGATGATGGTGAGCAATTGAATTCTGTGTCTCTGAGTCCAAAGCCCCCGCCGCCCCCTCTCCAAAAATGCAAAGGGCGAAAGGAAAGGGGGCCAAGGACCTCTGTGAGTTCATAAGCTCCACGAATTGCTGGTTGTTTGGGGACTTTTCACACCAGGCACACAAGCATGTGACCCAGCCTGGGAACGGGCCATGGGCCATCTAGGTCTGCTCTGGGATTATCTCGCCCTATCCTCACAGCCACCGGGGAGCAATTGCCAAGCGCACTTGACCTCGGAGCTCAGAGAGGTGATGTGGGCTGCCCAATAGCATCAGCCTACAATTGTAAACCTTCCCACCCCCAGCCCGCCCCTGCCATCCTGCCTCCCAGCCGAAAACACTAATTCGGGCACCTTGCAGGGTTCAGATGATGCATCTTCCCGCGATGGCCTGAAGGTGGCGCTGTTGCAGTTGGTCCTGGACAGGTGAGGGGCTTGAGCCTGTTGGGGTAGAGGGAGAGGAAATTCAGCCTTTGGTGAATGGAGGGCCCTTCTGGCTTTGAGTGCAGCCTGCTCACTGGCTTGGGGGCCGGTGCAGAGGAGGGAAGAAGGCGGGAGCATGGATCACCTCCGGGGAGAACATCACCTGGACGGAAGGCTGCCTTCCACCCTCCACCCTCTCCTGTCGGGTGCGAGACTGCACACCTTCAGGAGACTGGAAAGACCTGGCTCTGTGTAGAGGGCTCAGGACCAGGATTCCACGGGGAGCAGAGACACCTCAGTCAGCTTAGAGTGAGTGTTTTTCCGGCTGCTCACCTTCCCCACAAAGAGCTGGCCCCACCAGAGGACCGGCTGCCCAGCTCAGTGGCACATCGGCCCTGCAGGTATGCAAAGGGCCTAGAGGCCAGGGGTCCCTCAGCCGCCAGCAGCACAGTCTGAGACAAGTGGCTTCCTTGGGACGGGACCCCAGGAAGCAGGTGCGATGGGGCTGGGAGGTGAGGGAAAGGCCATGTTGGGAGGCTTTGCTGAGACTGCAGCTGTCCGCAGCAGGGCCGACTCCTCGGGGCCTCGGTGCAGGGTACAGAGCACCCCCTCATCTCCCCGAGGATGGGGGCAGAGCATTGATCCCTCGGCTCCTGTCTCCACTGGGGGAGGGTGTCCACGGGGACACTAGCTCCCTGCACTTCCAGGCTGAGCACAGGCGCTGGAGAAAGGAAAAGGCATGATGCTCCTGAGGTGGGGTGCTGTGGGCGGGAGGGGAGGCTGAGCTCGTAGGGAACTGTCCGTCAGCTGCAGCTGACATCAGAGGTGAGCGGGAGAGTGGGATGCAGGGTCCTGGCGTTCCTTACAAGGTGCCCTCTGCAGCGAATGGCCCCCCCCCCCCACTTCCGTAACTGCTATTGCAGCCCATTCCTTCTGGAACCCAGTCTCTCTTCTGAGCTTCAGACCTGCAAACACCGTTAACCTTTGATAGCTGACCTTCTGGATCCCTCAAACTCAAAGAAGCCAAACGGAGCTCATCACCTTTATGCCAAGCTAGTTTCTCCTCCCAATCGCCCACCCCAGCACCCACCTCTTTCACTCTAATGCTGCTCCCTCTCTGGAGCCAGAGTGACTTTCAAAACACAAATCCGATTCTGTCCCGAGCACATGGATGCTGGGCCTCGCTCCGGAAGCCACCAGCAGGGCGCTCTGCAGTTACTGGTGTGTTTTTCAGGAGAAGAAGGGAGTGTCCACATCTGAGCGGATAGTCCCTCCCAGCCCGCCTGAAACCCAGCAGAGCCTTCCAATGAGGAGCTGGCTCCCTTGGGGAGCGCCACCATGTGGCAATGGCTGTGAGTGTTCTCTCATTAATTCGCAGACATTTGTTGAGCACCTACTATGTGCTAGTCCATGCATGCTAGTGGGAGTGATAGCACCCTCCAGGGTGCAAAAACTATTTAGCTATCAGCGTATTGTGGCCCTGCAAAGCTCAACCCTACACAACAACACCTTCGTCCTTAGTATTTCATTTCTCTCAACGGGAAGAACTGAAATTAAATTAAAATGCTCTCCTTGGAGGAGCAGTAATGAAAAGGAAGGTTGGGAAACGCCACGGCAGGCTACGGCGAGACGGTAGTTACCGAGTCAGGCGTGGTTCCTCGCTGTGCACAGCTTCACATTCTGGCAGCGAAGACACGGGTCAGGTGATCTTACAACCACGAAGCGAAAGGAACCAGACTGGGAGGCCGAACCCTGTAGATTCCGTTGACATGACATTCTGTGAAAGGCAAACCTGCAGTTGCAGACACACCAGCGGGCCCTGGGCTTGGGCCGGGGAGGGGGTTGATTCTAGGGGGCATGATTTTACTATCCACATATTACACTCTAGTAAAGCTGCCTTAAAATTGTTATACAGTAAGCGACGTGTTTAGCATTGTGATCAGTGCCATGTAGAATTGGCAACAATGGAAGCACCCAGGAGGCAGCTGGCCTGATCCGAGCAGGGGGACTTCCCTGGTGAATTCATGTTGAGCTGAGCTCTAAAAGGTGAGTAAACATTAACTGGAAGAAGGAAGGGTGGAAAGAGCTGCCCCCGCTGCACAACTCTAGGGGGCGACACTACCTTAGAAATCATTGTATTCCTGGTTAGTGCAATGCCGTGGCCCTGGCAGAGCAGCTGGGGAAGAGGGAACATGATGTGCCCAGTTGCTGAGGCAGGACAGCAGGTGGAGGGAGGCCCAGGGGCCAGGAGTCCAGAGGACAAGGAAAGAAGCAGCTGGGGACGGGCTGGTGAGGTGGGCTGTGGTCAGACAGTGCAGAGCTCTGTGGTCTTGTGGGAGGTTTTGAAGGGGGCGTGGCTTGATCATCCAAGGTGCCCCTGTTTTGGCTGCAGTTTGCTGCCTCCTGGTGGTTGTTTGCTGCTATGACTTATATCCGTGGGGACCATTCTGAGTTCTGCGACTGGCTAAGACTTTCCGGATAGAAGCAGACATTCTGGGAATCCCTAGGGCAGTGGTCGGCAAACTCATTAGTCAACAGAACCAAATATCTACAGTACAACGATTGAAATTTCTTTTGAGAGCCAAATTTTTTAAACTTAAACTATATAGGTAGGTACATTGTTATTAACTTAATTAGGGTGCTCCTAAACTGGCCTTTGCTAAAAACGTCCTCAATCTGACTGAGGTACGTTTGCTGAGGTCGACCGCTTCCAACTCTCCCATCCACACTCGTCTTGTATACTTGTTTCGTCTATCTCCTTTCCGAAAACCGACTTCTGCGCCTGGGCCACGAAGTTTCAATCGCACTGTACGTGCCCGCCCGCACGTGGTATTTGGTGGAAGAGCCACACTCAAGGGGCCAAAGAGCCACATGTGGCTCCCGAGCCGCGGTTTGCCGACCACTGCCCTAGGTTATTTGATACTAATTACTAGTTATGTCCTGAGGTGGGGGGGTGAGTGGGGGCTGGAAGAAGGGGAGGAAAGGTGGGAAAATGAGAGATACCTGTAATACTATCAACAGTAAAAAATATATTTAAAAATGAAAAAAATAATTATCTCAAACCAATCCAGGGAGATCGGGCTGGAAGAATCCCGGGAACACAGAGACACACCTCTGCCCCATGCTCCTTGAGGGTCCTGCCCTGCTTTCCTCCCCACTCTTCCCACTCGGAAATGAAAACATTCAGTTGACCTCGTTCAAAAACTTGAGCTGAGTGGAGAGCTCATGCCAGTTGCATTATCAAGGGGTTTTGAAAAAGCATATTAAAGTTAATGCTCTATCTGGCCATGGTTGAGTGCCTACTATGTACCCAACACTTGGCTAAGTTCTTCAAATGAATTGTTTTAATTTAATCCTTGCATCCCTATGAAGTAGGCATTATTATTGTTATTATTTACATTTACAAACTGGAAGACAACCACAGAGACATTCCACCACTTACCGGGGTCACTCAGCCGCTTTTGAGTAAGCGGTGAAGCCAGCTTCAAATCCTGGAAGTTTGCCTCCAAAACCCACACTCCTGAGTTAAACGAACCTTGCCTTCCAGGAACAAAACCTGGCAATGATTTTTAAATTTACCAATATATTATTTAGATTTTTTATTTGCTGCTATATTTTTATTGGCTGATATATTTAGGTGAGATTTTTTCAACAAAGTTTTTATTTTTGTGCTTTATGTGCTTTTGGTATCAGCATTATACAAACTCGTAAAACGAACTGGAACTTTTCCATGTGTTTTAGTGCATTTCGGTGCTTTGAAATTTTTGGAAAGAATGTAGGGAGTAGCTATTCCTAAAATGTTTATAATTCACCTATAAAACCATCTGGACCTAAGGCCTTTGACAGTTGCCTTAAACTTATTTGCTACAGTATTAGCTTTTCTGGATTCTTCCATTTGAGCCAGACATATTTTCCTGAAATGAGTATCATATTTACCTAGAAAAGTAGATTTTTTTTAGCATAACGTGATACATAGAATTCACTTATAATTTAAAAATTCTTCTGTTTAAAAAATTCCATCTTAGTCATGATGCATTTCTGTGCTTTATTTATTTTGTTTTCTTCATAAGACTTGTCAGACATTTAATAGTAACAGTAGCAGAAGAAATACAACAGCACACATTTCTATAGTGTTTACTCTGTGCTGAGTACTAGTCCAAGTTCCATTGGCTCATTTAATCTTCATAACAACCGTGTGAGTCATGGACTATATTCTCATTTTACAGATGGAGAAACCGAATCACAAAATTAGCAAGTGACTTGCCTAAGGACACACAGCTAACAAGTGGAGAAACTGAGATTTAAATGTAGGCAGTTGGCTACTTTTATGTCTACTAGTTCTTTCCTCCTACTTCTTTTATTTTTCTTCTTCTAAGCCTTTGAGTTGGATGCTTTGACTCACTGACTTGTATTCTTTCTTGATGAATAAAAGCATTTGAGGTCATAAAGTGAGTATGGCTTTGGATCACTCGTGGGCTCTACCAGTATTTATCTTTCCAAAGAACCAGCTTTTGATTTCATTAGCTATTGTTTTTCTGTTCTCAGAAAAGATCGAAAGAGAGAAAAGAGAGCAGATACGCCGCGCTCTGACTCACGGAGGCCTCTTTTTCCACTTCTCTGTCCAGGAAAATGGGTTTCCTTCGGAGGGTTTGCTACCTGCATTGCTGTTCGGTTTTGTACCGGGGCCACCCTCGGCTGAAAGCTGGATGATAAAAGAGAAACAAAAGCCTGAAAACTTACCCCATAAGAGTCTTCAAGTTTGGGCCCTTTGAGCAATCCACTTGCTCTTTTCAGTCCGTAGACAGTTGCCTTTTGTGTTTTGTTGCAATCAGCGAGGGATGGGCTGCCGTGACCAACACCAGAACCCAGCGTCGATTTTGCAAATTGAGTCGCTCTGTAACATAGTCACATATGTTTAAATTATTAATTGACACTTCCAAAAGGTCCTTTACAATGGCCATGTCAGTGTATATTCCACCAGCACTACACAAAATCCTTCCCTCTCCTCTTATCAACAACCGAGACAAATTCTCAATGTTCCCCACCTGTTGTGCAAAAATAAAATAAACAGTACCTTGTTGGCCTGATTTCCAGTTCCATGTTTCCTAGTATATTGTGGGCCATTTATATGCCCTCATTTGTACATGGCCCCTTCCTATATCCTTTCCCAGTTTTCTCCGTGGTCATTTGTCTTTTAATTATTGACTTGTAGAAATTGTAGTTTCTACTGTTTGGGATTTATTGAGGTTTACTTTGAGACTCATTACTTAATCAATTTGTCTTTATGTTCTGTGAGCATTTGAAAAAAGGGTATTCCCCGTAGATGCTATTTGCTATTTGGATATATTAACACAAATGCTATTTGGATATATTAACACAATCTTGTTAATTTTATTAGGTTGCCTATATGAGTTTTAAAATTGTTGATCTGTTAACTTCTGAGACAGATGTTTCAAAATCTCCTAATCTGCTTGTGGTTTTGTGAAAGTCTCATAAATTCAGTATTTGCTCTATTATTTATGGTGTACTTATCCACATGTCTGATTCAGATTCATAATTAATCAATTCCTCCGTGATCAAGAGCAGGGACGCTGGTATTCGGTTACCTGAGTTCAAATCTTGGCTCTTTTCTTTACAAAATGTGGAGAAGTGGGGTTTACTCAATCTCTTTAAGCCTCAGGCTCTTCGTCTATGAAATGGGGCAAAGAATAGCACTTACCTCACAGAACTGTTGTGAGATTAAATTATCTGTGTGAGTGTTCAATAAGTGAGTATCAGAACATTTTCTCGATGAATAGACATTTCATCAGTTAAAAAAATATCCCGCAGTTCCATTTAATGCTTTCCCCCTTGAATTATGCCCTTAAAAAATATGATTACCTCACTCTCTTAATGCTATTTGAATTTCCTCTGAAATACATTTACCTGCTTTAAATATTTCATAATTATGTAACGTTAGGTGGATCTCTTGCAAAGCACATGGAGGGAGACAGTCTCCAAAGCTATGGCCACAAATTCCTTCCTTCCTTCTAAGCACAGGTGGCCCCGCCCACTGGGAGGTAGGGTCTATTTCCTCTCTTATTGAATGGACTAGAGGCCCGATGCACGAAAATTCATGCGAGAGTGGGCCTGCCTTCCCCTGGCTGCCGGCACCAGCTTCCTTCCGGAAGCCAGGACCCAGGCTTTGTTTTGGCTGCTGCCACCAGGCATCCAGCGCTCGGGCTGCTTCCCTCTGGCCGCCACCACCAGGCACCTGGGACCCAGGCTTCACTCCAACCCAGCTTTATCCGGAAGGACGTCCGGAATGACACCCGGAAGGACATTCGGTCTAATTAGCATATTACCCTTTTTTTATTATTATAGATGACGGTGGATCTTGCTTTGACCAATGGGAAGCAGAGGAACTGACAGCTTTAGCCTTTCCATAAGGGGCCAGGTAACTTCCACCAGCCGCCTCACATGCAGATGTTCAGGCTGTCCTATTAAATGAGTCTTGGCGACAGAGAGGCCACGGTGGGGAAGCTGTGAGGTTCACCCACGCGAGTGACGTTGCCTTGGACCGTGTGCCTGGCCTGGCCCCCTGCAGAATGCGGCAGGGTGAGTGACCCCACCACGCCCCTCCTGAGTTTTGGGGTGGTTTGTCCCTCAGCAGGAGATAACTAAACTAAGAACAGAGCTAGAGTTTCCTTTTACACTTAACCTGAGACTCTTTTGACTTTTACTAGAATTTAATCATTAAAATTTTATAGCTGTCGCCCAGCCCATGTGGCTCAGTGGTTGAGAATGTCGACCTATGAACCAGGAGGTCACGGCTCCATTCCCAGTCAGGGCACATGCCAGGGCTGCAGCCTTGATCCCCAGTAAGGGGCGTGCAGGAGGCAGCTGATAATGATTCTCTCTCATCATTGATGTTTCTATCTCTCTCTCCCTCTTTGTTCCTCTCTGAAATCAATAAAATATATTTAAAATAAACAATAAAAAAATTTACAGCTGTTAATAACTGGTCTTATTTTTGACATTTTGTGTTACACTTTCCGTTTCTTTCACTTTTGTACTTTTTGCTTTTTCTTTAATTGACTTTTACTGGCTTGATCTTTCTTCTTTTGCCTTCTGTTTTGGGCAATTCTAGATGCTTTTCTACTAGTATTTTTAAAAAATATATTTTATTGATTTTTTACTGAGAGGAAGGGAGAGAGAGAGAGAGTTAGAAACATCGATGAGAGAGAAACATCGATTAGCTGCCTCCTGCACATCTACTGGGGATGTGCCCGCAACCCAGGTACATGCCCTTGACCGGAATCGAACCTGGGACCTTTCAGTCTGCAGGCCGACGCTCTATCCACTGAGCCAAACCGGTTTTGGCTCTACTAGTATTTTTAATATTAAAATTAGTCAGCATTTAAAATCATATTGCTAATAACAATGTCAACATTTTAAAGTACCTATAATCTCCAAACAGGATTTGGCCTTTAGAATGTTTTAGTGTCCCTTTCCTTACCACCCAGACTTCAGAAACATGATTAAATTAACATAAAAGGTAAATGATGCATTACTATTGATTTTTTTTTTTTACTGTGTGTCTGTATTATATTCCAAAAATCCTTTTTGAGAAATTGCATTAAAAATTCACATTGTCAAAAAAAAAATCACATTGTCACCCAGCCAGGGTGGCTCAGTGATTGAGCATTAACCTATGGTCAGGGTTTGATTCCTGGTCAGGGCACCAGCCCAGGTTGCAAACTCAATCCCCAGGGGGGGGCGGGGGGGGGGTGCAGGAGGCAGCTGATCAATGATTCTCTCTCATCATTGATGTTTCTATTTCTCTCCCTCCCCCTTCCTCTCTGAAATCAATAAAAAAATATTTAAAAAAATTCACATGGTCAACCATTAGTTAGAATTAACGAAAAACTTAGAGTTCTTAAAGAAAACCAATAAAATGCACCTGAGTCATCAAAACAGAAAAAGCTTCACAAGTTTGATTTCCTGCCCTTGTTCTCGCCGACCGCATTTTACAGTCTTTATCCTGACCCCATACTCCTTTGAGTCACTTTTCCAGAAAGGGTATATCAATGGTACAAGCCTGAAATTGCCTTTTGTCTTCTCATCTGAATATTATTTTGCTGGGCATGGGTTCTAGAATCACAATCCTTTCCCCTCAGAACTCTTCAATGTTTTCTACTTCACACTCGTGTGGTAAATAAGATGTCCCCTGAGAAGGTTAATCTTTCCCTTGTCATTAACTTACTTGATCTCTCTGGACATTTTTCGCTGTTTTCCCTGTAGCTCTGGTTCTCGCCCGTGTTGCTATTCCAGTGGCACGGTTACAGGAGGACAGTGTTGAAATGGAAGTTTTGGCCGCGCCCTAAGCAATAGACATCAGATACCAGTAGGAATTAGGAGACCAGATACCCTATAGGACCTGCGTGGAGTTGGCAGTGAGAAACTGTTAGACAACTTCCTAACCTCTCACCACACTGAACGCATGAAAGGAGCAGGATAGTAGCCACGGAGAGAGGATGTGGGGAATGGCTTTTGGAGAGAGCTGTTGGTGCGATGGTGAGGGGGGTCCCCCTTCTCAGCGGGGAGGGGCTGCGGGCACCTGTCTCTTACCTGGAGCTGGCAGGAGAGTTTTCCACAGAACCACCTGGAGAGCCTGAGAAGCAGACCCTGACGTTATGGCCCAGTGGGAAAAGCATTACATTGAGCTGTGGGGTGTTTTTAAAATACTTGATCTGTTAAACTCCGGGACAGATGTTTTTAAATCTCCTAATCTGGTTGTGGTTTTGTGAAGGTCTCCTATTTCAGTGTTTGTGCTTTTATTGTCGGAGTACTTATCCACATGTCTGATTCAGATTCATAACTAATCAATTCCTCAGTGATTACATGGGTGAGTTTTAGGGTATGTGAAGTATATCTCAATAAAGTTGTAAAAAACTTTGATATTGTAAAATGCAAAAGGAGGAGGAGGAGGAGGAGGAGGAGGAGAAGGAGGAGGAGGAGGAGTGAGACAGCTTTGGGCAGAGTAGATTTAAAGAATGAGCAGACCTCCAGGTGGTATCACCAGGCGTCATGACGGGCCTCGCCTGCGTATCTAGGAGCAGGCAGTTGCCTCACCGAGTCCTAGACAGGCCTTGAAGGCAGGTGGTCTGCTCCAGTGGTTCCACCTTAACACGGGAGTGGGGCTCTTCAACTCGCCACTTTGAAATTTAAAGAACGAATGGAAGTAGGAACAGCAGAAACCACACCGAGGCATAAACGTTTTGCAGTGCAGCCCAGCCCACCTTGATCCCTTACTGAACCCTTCCCACCCTCTACCTAAATAGGGGAGGCCCAGAGGCATGGGCACGAAGGGCTCCCTGGCAACAGTTACCTGGCCCAGGTGATGGCCAAGGGCCTCTCGATGGGCCTGGGAGGGTGGGCAGGCACCAGCTTGGAGACCGGATGGCCTTGGGAAGCCTCGCGAGGCAGGCAGCGGGTGTGGGTAAGCCTCCTGCTTAATCAAGAAGCTCTGGAGACGTCGGGTAGTAAAGACCCCATAAGTCCGTTTTCTCCGAAGCTGGTTAGAAGTGGGCGTCTGTCATTTACAAATAAGTCCTACCTGAGACCAAGGAAGTGGGCGACCTGCATGCACTTTAGGAGAACAGCAGTTCTCAGGACCTTCACGTCTCGTGTCCCCTCACGGGGGTAGGTGGTGGCTTCCAGCCACCTCAGGCAGGAGGGCAGGAACGGGGCGGGGGGGGGGGGGGC